GAGAGAGAGAGAGAACTCACCAATTCATTGGCCATGAAACAGAGACCTACAAAAGTAAAATTTTATCTTCTATCACTGTAGTTCGAAGTAGAACTTATCTTCCATCACAGTATTTCAAAGACAAATAGCACTAATTAAAATTAAAATTAAAATAATCCCATGAAGGAAACAAAATGAGCACAATAGCAAATGAGAATTCAATGAATCTTTTCCCATTTGAGTAAAAAATATACCCAGCAGGGCAGTAGGGGAGAAATAATGGTAAGCAAATATTTAAATCAGCTCCTTGTTTTGCATTTTAAAGGAGGTGACTCCAAGGTTCACTAGGGAGGGAAAGAATGATACCTACAGACTGCAAGGCAAAGTGGGAGTGAAGAGAGAAATGAGGATGCGTTTTGACTTCTATGCATCGAAGAACTGGAGTCCCTCAAGAACAATGGGAAAGTAGTTACCCCAAAAAGAAAGGGGATAGTATGAATGACATTAAGAAGAATGGGTAGGTGATTGGTGTCAGCCAGTCAAAATCCTCAAAAATGATGTTATCAAAAGTTTACAAAGTCAGTTATGCCCCAGGTAGCCCACAAACAAATGAGAAGCATCAGACTTCCAAATGGTGGTTGAAATTTAGGAAACATTTAAAAAGCAAAAAGAAAACAAACCAGAGTCTTTGTTCTCTGGCCTTGCAGCTAAAGATACTAATTGGAATGGTCTGTTTCATCCATAAAGCAGGAGAAGAATGAAAAAACACGTAAAACCCTAAGTTGTTAACTACCCATTGGTGCTCATCTAGCAATCAGACCCAATCTGCATTATCTTGTCTAAGATGTTGCTATGAATCCAATGGATAGTCACTTAAGAGAAAATTCATGGTCTGTAAGTGAAATTTTGTTTGAATATACAACAGAGACTCATTGCTGCAGGTAATAGTAAATCTTCACGTTAGGAGTATATCTTCTCATCATCGCGGTTTCAAAAGGCTTGCAAATTTTCATAAAACACCTGAAAGAATTTCAAATTGCTGGTTTTAGTGTTGGACTTTGGTAGCAGTAAAAAAGTCATTTTTCGATCTTGGCTGGTCAGAAATTTCAGAGAGAGTCATGAGAGCTTGTTTGACAAAAACAAGGAAAGAAAAAAAAGAAGAAAGTGTTAGTTAAGATCCTAAGACTGTCTATAATGGGTATGTTGGTTTGGCATGTTTGGATCAGTTCAGCTGGTTACTACGGAGGCCATATTAACAGTTGGATGTTTAAGCAAATCAATTCTATAGAGGAAGTACCCTGTGGCTCAGGACTATGGTACAGAGGAGGTTAGGATGAATCCAAAGTCGAATACAATATGTAGCTCACCGCAATTAGTTTTTCCATGAAAGGCCAGGTACACAAATTTGGAAGATCCAAGCACCCAACCCAAAGATCATTCATAGCAGCTATCAGGATCTAGAGAGTCCAATGGAAATATCTAATCACGTAAAAGAGAAAAAATACAGAGAACAAGCTTCAGCAGAGGGATAGAAACTTACCAATTAGATAATCTTCAATGTCAAGGCCAAAATCTGATGCGTCCACTGCACAAATGAGGGGCACGCATAAATTTAGTCAAGCTTATAAATGCACAAGTAAAGCAAATTCTAGTATACATAAAAATAATTCTTTAGAAGGGGAATTTGGGCAACTAAGATGATGTTGTAAAATAATACGAATTGAGGCTGGTGAAAGAAAGTGAGATGCATCAATTAAGTCACTCATTCAGAAATGAGGTGCCAACACAACCCCTTTTCAAAACAATATAGTCATTTCCCACAACTGAAACTTGCTAATATGTAAAGTACAAGGCCGCCAGACCTTATTTTGTGTGCCCAAAATTCAGGAAGAAAACATATAACCTTGGCTACCCAAATGGATTTCTCCCAAAGGCAATCAGTTTGCATATAAACGACTCAGGCATTCATCAGAAATGAGAGGGAAAGCTAACAAAAATTTGACTTGAAGTCTTGAATATCAAGTTTATCAATGTCATGAATGTCATTATGTTTGACAGAGAATCCGAAATAGTAGCAGATAATATCATAAAATGGATGTCACCTGTTAAAAAATCATATAACTGGATTTTGGCATTTGTAGCAACCTTACCTGTTAGACTTCCCGGTTTCCTTTATTTTGCTTAAATAAGGAATTACAATTTTTAGGTAATTAGAGAGTTGAGCGGCAGAGCACAACGTCCAAGGTTGTAATTCTATGCAACCTACCCGAGAAATTACATCAACTATAAAAAAGCAAATTGGAATTTACCCAACATATAAATTACATAATGTGCAAGCAATAATACAATCTGTCAAGATGCACATCACGAACTTTTTATGTTTCATATCGAACAACCTAAGCAGTATTATATATCAAATAAAAATCTGTGCTTGTTTCTTGTTCAGGTGCTTGTTTCTTGTTCAGGTGCTAAACCCCTTATGCAAATAAATTAAATAAATTTACGTGAGACAATTGGCAAATCTTGTACAGTAATGCACTTAATGAATATAGCAAACGTAAACTGACATCAGAAAAAAGACAAATACAGTTATGCTACTTTACAGCTCATAACTATCTACCTTCCCCACAAGTTGGTGCATCTATATCAACTGTGATTCAACTTATAGAAAATATACTATAGTCTAGTCTAGTATATTTTCTTGGTGAAAATGTCTGCAAGCTGACCGTTGCTTTTAAGTATGGTGTCTGAATGACGTCACATACCACCTTCTCCCAAGTGAATGCTCTTGGCCACTGACTGCTTTATATCTTTGCATATTCTCATTAGTCATTACATCCAACTTCTAACTATGTTGTGTAGACCCATGGTCATCCAATAGACATCTTCCTCTCAGAGAATGGAATGATTGTGTGCCTTTTCTTCCCATGATCTTGAATCTATTCTTCGATGGCATTTGTCTACTACTTATGGGCAATAAATATTATAAAGTCACTAGCTTCTGAAAGAGAAACTACAGAAACAACAAAATAATAGAATAGCATTGTACAGAACAAATCATTGAATGGGATAAATACTTGATTTCCTGTTCTCAAACAATTGGTAAAGCAGATGTGCCAAAAAGGGAGTCCAGAGCAGGACTGATACCCAACCATTGAAGAAATTGATGAAACAGCTAAATCCTTGGGCTTCAATGTTCATCGTATGAATTATTTATTTCCTCAATTGGATAGTAAGTAGATGATCCTAGGCCTGGGTAAATTCAAACCATGTCTTGTCCATAATCAGGGTTCATGTGCAAAAGGAACTACTATAGATACAGAGCTAGCTAGTAAGACAGGGACGAACCTAAAATTCAAAGAAAAAGATCGGTGAACCTCCCACTGGGATGAATCAAGAAGGAACGACTTGGGTGCTCTACAGAAATAGGTCTCTTCAAAGAAGTCAGCAGGACATGAAAAATGAAAGCATGTGTTTTGTGGGACTCAAAACATTTGTAAACCTTTCTGGTGGTGTACTACCCACAAAGTGCACACTTAACCTAAACAACAAATAATGTATCCTCAGCAGTTTCGGTCTGATGGACAAAGAAAGTACAGTCAACTGGTTTGAGTGACTAATGATAAGAGGCCTATCAAACAATTTTTGCAATAGCGATACATTTTCAAGCTGTGTAGGTAACCTATTGATAGCAAGCATTACATATCTTCTGGCCAACAAATCTCCAGCAGCACGTGAGTTCATGAAGATTGTCCTTTTTCGCTAAGCTAGTCCACTTTGTTATAGCGCAGCTGGACATGGAGTTTGAGGAAGGTTCTCATGAACATACCCAAACATGTTCCTGATCACAAACTCAGCTGCATCATCAAAGAAAAAAAAAAGTCTGACCATTGAATTGTATTATATATTAACCTAGGGCAGCATTGCTCAGAAATATTTTTATTTCATAAACATAAATCCATGGCACTCTAGTAAAGTCCTCAAAGAATGTAACAAAGTATATAACCCAAATAGAGAAGCAATGGGGCAAAACCCCACACCTGTAATGAATTAAAGGGTTCAGTGGATGAAATATGAATGTTCAACAAAGAAAATCTATATTATTTTAATAGTTGAGAATCATCACAAGTCCTAAAGCATTCACAGCCAATAACCAAAGAGGACAAAACTAATAAGAAAAACCCTGGATGATCAGGGTAACCCAAATGTGAGTGACAAATTCCCTTTCTGCTATAGACTTTGGACTGCAAAAGGTTGCAACATGTAAGTTCCTTTTATTCAATAAAAAGCTCTCCCATTTAAAGTTTATCATAACAAACTCGCTTAGCAAAATAAGTAGGAGAAATCTTCACATAATAAGAGAGGCAAAAAAGAAGCTCTGGCCTGTCTATAAACCACAGAATTGTCAATGAACCAGAGAATTTGGACAATTTAGTTGGAAATAAGGAATAACTCTATCCATAATTTGATGCAATTCTGTTATCACAATTTGCAATAAATCAAAAAAATAAAATGAAAAGTGAGGATAGAACCTCACATCCAAGTTTATCCTCTACTTCAGTATGCATAAGAAGATTGCCAGTTTCAAGCCAATGTAAAAATGCCAACAATGAAACCACTGTCTGTGTCTCGCTTCTCCAATCTCCATGATACCTAAAATAGAATAAAACATACTTAACATTCCCAATCCAATGAAGCATGAAAAACAAAAGAACCAGAAGATAAACCAAGAACTACACAAAGAAAGATAAGAGCACTGGAAACCAATATCAAAAGTTACCTATAATATTGACCTGGACATTCACGTAGAATCTCGGAAAGTCTCTGATAAAGATCCCTAAGGGTACTAATTTGGGCTTTAGCCTTCTCAAGTACCTCTAACAAAATAATCCCCAAGATCAGTAAATGTTAATCTCATGAATAAAAACCTAGCATAACCATAAGCAACAAATGAAAGGAAGGAGCTACATGTACATCTATCATGCTTATCAAGAAAGAAAGAAAGAAACAAAAACACCCACTTAGGAAAGCATGTGTGTTTATTTACAAAGTAAAGTACTAGAAAATGTGAGGAAATTTTTTGCTAGAAGCCACCAGCATTACCAACATTCTTAGTGTCCAAAATGCTTCATTTATATCCGGGCAGGGGCGGTGAGGGAGGGAGAGACAAAGAAGGTGTCAGGTTTTATGGAGCTTGGATTTTGTGGTTTGCAGAGAAGAAGACGAAGAGAGGAGCAAACCCGTTTCCTAGGTTCACATTACGCAGAGGCGAAGAAGAAGAGATAGAGAGACAGAATTGGCGAACCAGATGCCAATGTTTCTGGTTTTCAGAAGACCGGGGGGGGGGGGGGGGAAGAGAGAGAGAGAGAGAGAGAGAGAGAGAGAGAGTAGTACGTAGAAGTAGGTACGGTAC